CATAGACTATAAAAGATAGTTGTGTCTATCTAGGCAAACTGAGATAACATTCATAAAACTGGAGAGAGTAACCAATTCATTATTTCTGGAAGAGAACTCACCTTGGGAGTTGACTGAAGAACTTTGAGCAGACATGACGTTGGTCTTCTAAAGCTCTGATACCATACAAGAGACAATGAAAGTGGTGAATTCTTACTAACAAATTGCAAAAGTTACATGAATGTTTATATAGAAGGAGATACAGAGTTTGAAATTCAATTTTGAATGTACAGATAAGATGATAGATACAATAGGATAATGATTATCATAAGTTGATAACAGGATAATTGTTATCTGGGATTGATAAGTCCATATATAACAAATTATTGTTGTTATCTAACTGATGACATGGCTGATGATGTGGCCAATGTGGAGTTATCTCTAGCAGTGAAAGATAATTGATAGTTTATGTGTGTTTTTTTTTGTATGTTTTAATCAATGTTATATATAACAAGAAATGATAGGAAATTAGATGCGAGTTCTAAACCCAGCCTGCCTTACCCTTGAATGTGAGGAGGATTTTACATTTTCAGGTGTGGAGAGAGTTTGGATTCTCAAAATCCAACCCGCTACAGGCTTTTGGGCAGATACGGGTTGGGAAGTTTAGAGAAGTGGATAGGATCTAGAATTAACAAAACCTTCCAATTTAGATTTGGATTTTAAGTCAGGCTTTTTTGTAAGAATGATGGTCTAAACTAGTTTATAGGTAGAATACATTCAGATTATTATTTTTTTCTTTTTGGGAGGGGGATGCTAAAGATGCTATAGGGTTAATGGGTTGGGTTGAACCAAACCTATTAAATTTATTTAAATGAATCGCTAACAGGTTGGCAAATTAGATAGAGGGATTGAAAGTAAACTAAACTCAACCCATCCAAACCTGTCCAATTGCCACCGCTAAGGATCTTCTCTTCATTGACATGGAAAGGATCTGGAGCCCCAACATTGTCCTAGTAGCTGAGATATGGTCAAGTGGGCCCACTTGTGAGAGAGTCCTTCAAACCAAAGATCGGCTTCATTCACACAGCCTTTTACACCATGCGTTGGGGAATATCTTCATACTTCGTATTTTTTTATGAGGAGATATTCCTAAATCTCAATGCAAGGCAGCAAAGGACTATAAAAACAGTTTGTGCACGGTCTTATAATCATTGAAGTCGATTTCCTAAAGGAGAATGATGGTTCAGCCCAAGGTCAGAATTTTTAAGCCTATAGTACAGTTGGGGTGGGTGCCAGCTTGGAATTGATGCCAATTCACGAGCAGACATTAGTGTATAGAGTGGGTGTTTTTGACCTTTTAAATGTTTATAGCTATAGTGGAATTCAGAAATCTGCATTGAGCCTGTCCATACTTTTCCCATTTCCTAAAAGGAAACATTTGTCTCAACACTTGCTCTTAGTTTAAGTTTTTGGATAAATTCAGATCAGCGCCCCACTAATGCCTCCACACAGTCAATTAAGGACACCTGTCTTCTGCACAAGCTCTACTTCTAATGCATGTGGACCCAAATTTCACCAAAAAAAGTGAAAACTCAAAAGCTCCTATTCCCGCTCAGCCCTTTCTCTCTCGATTCAGCTTCACAGAACCCGTGTTCAGCGTCCTTTCCAGTTTTACTCGTCTTTCCGATGCCGACATTCGTTCTGGTGTCACTGACGGCCACTGACACCATTAACAGATGCAATTTTTTTTCTTCTTCCCTCTATTTTGTTTTCATTTTTTTTTCTATTTTTGTATTTTTCCCAACTTATTATAATGTTCTGTATTGCCAAATACATCACCATTGAACATGAAGGTTTTTTTGCCTCTTTCCCTCTAGCATGGACAAGAAGTGTCTCAAACATTACGAATTTACGAACAAAACATACAGTCCAAGTGCAAGTGCAGGGATTATGGTGCCACTTCTTTATGCACGTCTGATGGATTGTCTCTCACTCATTGGCTTTTATTATATTCTTGGAGAACGTGCCTATTCTCAAGCAAAGGAAAATTCATATGGAGTTGTCTTCCCTTTTGCTTTTGCCATCTGTTGGATAGTTTGGAAGAAATTGAATTTTTTAGGTTAATTCTGCTCCGATAGAAGTGATCGTAAGCAAGGTGGAATCGACTATGAAGAGATGGGTTGCAATTCAAGGCTTTTTGTGGGAACTCCCTGCTATTCATTTTAGCGACCATTAGACTTCCCTTATTTTTTATTTCAATATATAGGAACTTTACCTTTGAGCGATGTGATCACCGAAGCGAACACTGGCGCCAGAGAAGGAAGTGGAGATGAAAGGATAGTGAACAGAGCTATTCCAAAGTTGAACCGAGAGAAAGGGTTAAGTAGGAATTAGAAGCTGATTCATTTGGCGTTGATTAATTTAAAGGGGAAATTCCTAATTAATACCTTGTACTTTGGGCCTACTGCCACTTTTGTCCTCAAACTTTAAAATGTGACAAGTTAAATATTCAAATTTTCAAAGCGTGACAATCCAATACATGTTGTTAATTTATTGTTAACCAGTCGTTAAGTGGCATTTGAAAAGGACATAAATGTCCTTCGGGTGTCATCTAATTTTCTTTATGAACAATTTAAACGTTGATAAAAAAAATGAACAATGCCAAATCCTTGCCTCTTCTATTCAAGAAAGTTGGGGTCACCAGAATGCCCACTCAAATGTGACCCTGACTTTTTGAATGGAAGAGGTAAGGATTTGGGATTATTAATTTTTTGTCAATGTTTAGATGGTTGATAAACAAAATTAAATGACACTTGAAAGGTATTTGTGTCTTTTTCAAATGCCACTTAACGGCTGGTTAACACAGCTAGTTAACAATAGGTATTGAATTGTCACATTTCGAAAGTTCAAATATTGAATTATCGCATTTTAATGTGTACAGACCAAAATGACACTAAGCCCAAAATACAAGATACTAATTGGAAATTTTCCCTACTTTAAACAATGTAACCCCTGAAACGAGCATTGGCGCCGGAGAAGGAGATCGAAGATAGAGAGAGAGGGTCGAGTGCGAATGGGGGCTTTTGGGTTTTTTCACTTTTTTGGGTAAAATTTCAGTCTGCACGCGTTAGGATGGTATGGACAGGTGTTCCCATTTGATTGTGTGGGGCGCTGATGCAAACTCGTTTTGAATGGAGTGGGTGGTATGGACAACTATAATCTTGGTCAAACCGTTGGCCTCTTGAATGTTTCTAGAGAACGAATATGGAGTTGAGTCGTCGTCACTAATAACAAAAGCAATGGTGTGCATGGATGGATGCATGTCAATGTTGTATCTCAATTTTGACTCCAACGGCCGCAATTGGCTCTTCATTTCATTGGTCCGTCGTTTACAATTATTATCCTTTGCATCTTTTCCCATATCACAGTACATATGATAACTAATCCAACGTTCTGAAAAGATGTTTCTTAATTAATTGGATGAACCCGAAGACCCCCTTTAATTGAATGCAACCCCACCTATTTCTGCGGCGCGGAGAAATCCCATCTCCCATGGACCATGGCTACTCCAAATTGTTACTCAAATCCTATACCCTTCTAACTTATTGTCAATTTACCAAGTCCTCTTCAGCTCTACATCTACACCAACATTGTATCAGAGCTTTTATCAACTAATTAATAATTAATAGGTCTCCAAACAGCTTTTCATTGTTAATTAGCAAAACTATTTGTGGTATTAGCACAACTATTTGTGCTAATAAGCAACATCCTGTTTGATTCAGCTTTGATCAACTAATTGAATGAGTTTGGGTTGGAATTGTTAGTGGTGTTAGCACAACTATTTATTTTTTTCTTCTTTTCTAATAAACAACAACAACCTTACTTAATTATAAATGGATTACGTGTAGGGGTGTCAATGGACCGATTTGGATTAGACCCATCCGCGGAATATTGGATGGACCAATAACGTATGTTGATTTGGACCAGTTCCAAAGTAATTATTTATTGGATTGGATTGGACCTAATCCATCCATTATGGATTTATATTGAATTGGATCAGATTGCACCAATATCCAAATCATAAATACTATTCAATAGATTGGATTGGATCAAGATCCTCTAGGTAATTGAACAAATTCATATGTATACTCGAGTCTAAGGGGCCATGCATGTATCTGAAAACATGGCAAGGTGGCATTTAAGTGTTAATGTGACAGCAATGTTTGTTGTCAACTTGGGCAGCTGACGTAATTAAAACCTTTTTTTGTTCTCTAGGCCATGAGTTGAATGGTTTGTTCAATATCCAAACTCTCCTACTAATTAATTAAAACAAGCATGTATTTGGGATAGTTTTGACCAAATGAACTAGACATCCCAAAAACCATTTTACCGTTGGTTCCTAATCCAATTTATGTCTGACAACATTTTTTTTGTAGAGGTAGCTAGACGAGAGTAATTACTGGAATATGGACTTAATAAGAGAAAAATATCACCTATATGGAAACACAAACATTGATGGTGCAGCTAGGAACTTTTTGTTCTTTTAGTTCTGAAGTCTTTTGTTTCCAGTTAAGATTGAGATGCGTCTCATTCATAAAAAATAGCGTTTTTGTTCATTGATGATGCAGCTAGGAACATCATGCTACAGGAACAGTAAGCAACATATATTTTAGCTAGCCTCAAAACAATATCTTTTACCAATTTCAATTAATGAATTCAAGTTGTCCTTTTGGAAACCTTGTCGATACTGCTTGATATATATATATATATATATATATAGAGGAATGAAAGGATATTCACACATCATCTTTGTTCATGTAACACCAAACTGAATTAATTAATTAATACATGCTATAAGCAAAAGCAAACACCAATCTTATAGTACATTGAGAGACTTTATTTTACCCACAATAAAGTTGTTAAAGTTGTTCATGCATGCATCAACACTTTATTTATTCCTCTATTATATATAGATGGTTTATATATATATATATGATATGGGGTATATCCCTAAACCATAAATATATATATATATATATACCAAAAGGATATTAATTCTATGCATTAATTGACGAAGGGATACAGCTCATATCTGAAGTTGCAACTCCCACCAACAACTCTCCCTCCTATCTTACCATCACAGCAACTAGAAATTTCGCTTATTGCTTCATCCAGACACTTCTTGCAACCAGTGGTAGAGAGATCCCTGGTGCACTGAACCAGACCATATAGCGTCTGTGCTTCTCCCAGTTTTTGCTCTCCCGTTGCAAATAGCTTTGGGCTATGATAAGCTTCGTTGGTTAGGTGGCTCAACAATTCCTTTGTTTTCTGATTGAAGGAAGCTGGGTTGCTTACGTTCTGTACGTTCCACATGTAGAACTTGTATTTGTAGTCGATATTCCCAAAGAAATCCTTATTTGAGTATTTCAAGAGACAGTTATCGTACCATATGATTCCTTCTTTGTCATTGGGACAGCGTTGTAGAATCTCCGTCTTGGCCTCAGAGACGCAGGTCTTACAATCTGTGCTTGAGACATCACCTCGACACAGAGCAAGGCCATTTGCACGGTCTGGTGCCTGCCCAACCGAACCGAGTCCAAAGCCCGAGGGAACAACTTTATAGGAGAGAGAGCTCATCAACTTGTTCAAGTTGATCTCGTATGGGCTTTTGGCACTGAAGTTGCCGGATTTTGAACAAAAATGGAAAAGAGGGTCGGCACTAATGACGCCATGGACAAGAAGCGAGATGGTTAACAGACACAGAGGAGTGAAACGCAGGGAATACATGTTGGAGGAATATCAAAGATGAGCCAAGGGATCCAGGTTGGTGTTCTCTTCATGAAATGTTCTCTGCTTAAATAGAAAACCAAACCTACTGAATGACTTATTCTTCATGAGACAACTTAGTCAAATTATCCAGCTGCGCAACATAGGGCATCAGCGTTTATCTTTTTTACACTTTTTTTTTTTTTTTAATCTCAAGTGCGATTAATTTTATCTTCTTTTTTAATTTTCTGGGTAAGGACCCAATCCTAAGTACAAAAATTAAAAGTATAAATAATATTTGTTTACATAAAAGAATTTTACCCAGTCCTGAACAATTCTCCATGTAGTCTAATCAGTTGGGCCGGCGGTATTATATTTGAAGAAAGGGATGATGGGCAAACCAATTCAACTCTTAAATGTCAAGCAACAAATGAATAAGGTTGTATTTGGTTTAAAAGAAAAAAAAAGGGAAAGGAAGGAAAAAGGAAAAAGATTAGTTGCACAAATCAAACACAACCTAAAGAAAAAAAAAAGGGCTAGCTCTTTTTCATCCATGATCGAAGATGTATCTGTATCTCGTTACCTGATTTTACTTGTCTGTTGATTGATTTGTTTCTTTAAATACCATGCGGATAATTGATTTCCATTTCCACCTTCAATGAAAATGTATCAATTTTTGGTTTATATGCCATGCGGATATTTGAAATATAAAATATTTTTTGTTGCCAATTAAGAAAATTTATAGGATTGGGGTGAAATCTCTAGTATGTCAGTGGGTCGGATCAAGTGGTGAACCTGACCCAACCCTGTTCGATCAAATTTTTGGTAAGAATAAGGACACCTTTCATGGGAAAAACTCGGTTTCTCTCTCTCTCTCTCTCTCAACCAAAAAGCTTGACAATTTGAAAATAACAGCAACCCAAACTGTGACACCTATGGTTTTCAAAACCGGACTGGACCGGATAATCAGACCGGAAAAACTGAGAACCACTCAGGTAATCGGTTCCGTTTTACTCCAAAACCATTATTTCCCCTAAAACCGTTCATTTGGTCAGCAAACCATTGACCCAGGTGGTCGAACCGTTCAAACTGTTTGAACCATTCAATGGTTTGGCCAATTTTTTTGTCAGAATGGGCTGTTCGAATGGTTGGACCGTTCGACCCGGGAAACAGACCCCTGACCGGTTCATTGTCTAGATCGGTTTTAAAAACCTTGGTGACACCCCTTAATTTTTTTGACTGTTGCTGAAACCTCCTTTGAAAATTGGTAATTGTTATTACTTCCCCTGAACTTTATGATGCAGTTGAAAATGGACCCTTCTGTTAAAGATGTATGAAGATGTCCAAAATACCTATGCATGCACTTACTACCAGGCTGGTTTATATAGAAAAAACTATAAAAATTTTATAATTAAACAACAACAAAAAAATTTAAAATTGCAGTTTTACCTTTGAGCAATTGATATAAAGGACATATTTAAAAAGTAAATCAATTTCAAAAAGAGATTAAAAGGGTTTGGGTTAATGATTCATATGAAAAAAAATTTAAAAAATAAACATTTTGATCAAAAATAACTATATAGATATTTTGGATATTTTCTTATATTATCCTTTTTTTAGAAGATTCTAATAAAAGAGGTCAACTTTCACCTATATCAAAAAGTTTAGAGAAGGTTTGAGATTAATTAATACGATTTATGCAATTTTAGATCATAAAAACTTGGTAAAAAAACGTGTATTATGAATATGCAAATGTCAAAACCCTGAAAATAAGAACATAACAAACAAACTTGATCATCTCTTTCTCCAATGTAACAACAGCGGGATAACGTAACAATCAATCCGTTTTAAGAATTCTAGAATGTGTTAACGTCACCTATTCAAGAAATTAAGAGTTCTAGAATTTCAGTGCAGACAGAAGTTGTACAAAGAAAGGTTTATTGCATGTTGGATATTGAAAATTTGAAACTGTACACACTTCCTTCAACCTCAGGATTTCACAGTCTGGGAGAGGAATATCCATCAAACTGCATACTTTGGCCTTTGAACTTGTTTTGGTGGGAATAAGAAATAATAATATGATAGAATTGTCATTTCAACCGTCTGTGGTATAATAGGTTAATGAAATTTAAGGGGTCTTTTTGTGGATTTTGAGAGAGGGGAAAGTTGGTCAATAGGATTTTGGTTTTTATCGATCAAGAATTTCATTTTTTTCAGATTTATGTTGGGATCAGGGAAAGTTTATTTCTCTTAGGCGGGTAAATAACTTTCCCACCTAAGGGGAAGTTGCCAATACTTGAATGTAACAAAAATGCCCTTTTTAATAATGAATTTTTATGGCTAAAATGATCATTACATTATTTACATAAAAAATTAAAGAACATGAATAAATGCACCTGCCAGGATAAATATTTTCTAAAAAACTTATCCAAATAACTGCATTTATTTGAATAAATAACTTACCGAAAAATAAATAAGGCTTTAAGTCCAAATTCATTATAATGATTAAAACTAGGGCTATAAATGGGTGTTGGTTCTGGTTTGGGACAGGGTCTACCAGTCCTGAACTGATTGATTCTATAAGATAGATGCAGACTGCTCCAATTATTAATAAACTATTAATCGGAATAATCAGGTCTGACCCGTTTATACTAACATTCTATAATGACTTGGGTTAATAACAACTAAAAAGTTTGTCTAAGAAATTTATATTGGTTTGGGTCATAACTGTTTCAGAACAGCAAGAACTGGTGCCAATGCCCAATAATTAATCAGGAAAAATTCCTAAAACAGATGTAATTTGTTTGGTCGGCTTAGTTTTATCTGGTGGACATGACCCATTGGGGGACATATGTCACACACTTGTTGATTTATAAATAAAAATTTTATTTTTTTTTCACATCTAAACTCCGAAAACCTTAAAAATATTATTAATTGTAAAAAACACTTGATCACACACATGTCCTCCAATGACCAGATAGGAGCCAAAGTATTTTCAAATCAAAACGTATTCTCTGGCGGATTTCTTATAAAGATTAATTGATTTACAGAATGCGTTGGAGTTCACAGTAGGAATTAATCCCACAAAATAAAGTATATGTTTGGTTTTGTGAGCGTTTAATTTTAGGTTATTATTATTTTAAATGTTTTTTTTAATAATTTTAAAAGCTTTTTTTTTGTTTTATTGAGCATAATTTTAAATGTTTTTATTTTACAGTTGAAATTAACACCTTATAAAAATATGTCAAATAAGGATTATATTTCAAACATGGTTTTTAAAACCGAATCAGTGATCGAATCAGTCAGGGTCCGGTTACCGGTTTGAATGGTCTGATTGTTCAATCCGAACAGCCAGCCTGTTTTGACAAAAAAAATTAAAAAATTTGAAAAACGGTCAAAACTGTTCGAACAATTAATCGACTGATTTAGTGGTTTGCTGACCAAAATTAACGATTTTAGGGAAAAAAAAACGAATTTGGGGAAAAACGGAACCGGTCAAATAACTGGTTCCCGGTTTTTCCGGTCTAACCTTCTGGTCCGGTCCGATTTTGAAAACCATAATTTCAAGAAATGTCTTGGCTTTGAGGGAAACAAGAATTTAACATTTTACAAAATATCTCATACATATAAGTTCAAGCTAACCGCTCTTGTGCGAACTGGTTTGCATCCTGGCTCAATGTAGATGCTACTGATGAGGTTGCAAATTTTACAATCATGTGGCAAATTTGGATTTCCCGTAACCGATTAGTGGTTGAACAGCAAATTTTTAATCCCATTGCAGTGATTACACGGGCACATGCTCTTAACAACCCAACCGAATAGCCCTCCCTCTAACCGTCTCAAGGCTTCGTTGGTTTTCTCTAAGTCCAGATTTTGTGAAAGTTAATGTTGATACGCTACATCTGAATCACGTGCAGGCGTGGGGATTATCATTCGTAACCACAAAAAGTTGATGTTCAATTTATTAATGCAGCTAGGGCTATTCATGGGTCGGGTTGAATTGGTTTATTGTGGTTTTTTCAACTGATCCGATCTGGTCGGGTTACCTAATATAGAAGCCGAAACTGACCCAGTGTTAAGCAAAATCGATCTGGTTGGTTTGAGTCGGGTTAGGTCGGTTTGGGTCGACTTCAGTTCTAAGTTCATCCGTGTGATAAAATCTTGCTAATTTAAAAAAACAGTTATAAATTGAACATCATTTCAGCCATCTCCTATGATAAAATTTAAATGAAAAGTTAATCATAAAAGTTCATTAATCACTATTCATTAACCCAAAGTTTCTTGGAACCATTCAAAAACTAGGTGGTCTAATGGGCTTTGGAACTTCATGTTTGAATTAGGAAATAAATTGATTCGGTTTGGATCGATTTAGAAATTTGCACAACCCAAAACCGACCCGTGCTGATGAAAACCCAGCCGACTCAGATTGGGCCAGTCTGAATTGATCGGTTTGATCAGGTTGGGCCTTCTTATGAACAGCCCTAAATGCAGCAAAAAAAGAATAAATAATCAATATATTAAATTAAAAACTTAGGAAGTAGGCAACTTTGAGTGTAGTATACTTGTGGATGATTAACCTACATGACTTTTTACTTTTTAGGCGGTGACCACTTCGCCAACTGCACCTTTATATTAGTGGCTAGCTGCCGGCGGTGGGTTTTGATTTTACAATTGAACGAGTGGAAAATGCCAAATCATAACAAATTTGATAATACAAAAACTATGGTTAAGGCTCTCTGATTTCACACAGCGTTCCTTCTAGATTTCCTTCAAATGTCTCCCTTTTCATGCTTTCGAATGGGCACAAATTGGTTTAGTGGCCTCTCAAACGTCAATGTTTCTAGAGAAGGATGTTAGGATGGATGAGGTTCCAATTACAAGAACAGTCGTGTGTTTATTTGTGAGCTACATGAATGTGATATTGACCATATAGAACCTTCCAACACCAACACTTCCCCCCATTGAATTGGGTTATCGATCAGTTTGACATCCTCCCACACTGGCCATTATTGCATAATTTAATTGTCAAAGCTTTTACTTTTTAATTTGGTTTGCTTGAATTGTGAGAAACTTGAATGTATTAACTAAGTTGACCCTGATTAATACAAGATATTGATATATAAATGATATCTGTTTTTATCTTAGAAAGAAAACAAATCCAACATTCTTTCTTTTGGGTGGATCGGATAGACTAGTTACCACCAAAATCATATACTTTATTAGGTGCTGCTTATCAAGTCTTCTTTGGGTTGGTCTAACAATGCGGCTACGAGTTTGGATTTGCTTCTACTTCACAGCACTTCTAGCCATACATTGAAAATATCTCCTGTTATTATTCATGGAAAGATATTATTAATATACAATATTGTGAGATATAATGTAAGATCTGAATTTTGCAGTTTTGGCCTTATAGTTGTGGAAGGTTAGTCAGGGATGCACATGTTCCTATTAATTATACCCTTTTCATTTACTCGTTGGAAGAATGTCACTGACATACAAGCCTGTTAACACTCTAAAGATCTGCTACCAACACAACACTCTCAATACTGTTCTAACAAGTCACTACAGCCACATACTCCAAACATTTCCCTTGTCATTTATGGGGAGGTGTTCCTGATGTATATATGTAATGGCTGGTTGGGAAAAATGGGGAAAAGAGGAGTCGAATGGATTTATACACTCAAAATAAAGGGTCTTTAGGGTCTGTTTGGTTTATAGTTAGAATCGGAATCAGAATCGAAATGGTCTATTTCCATAATCTGTTTGGTTCAGACAAGAATAAAAATAGGAATTAAAATCAGCAGGAATAGAATTTCATTTTTAAGGGAGAAGGAGGGAATGACTATTTCCTCAAATGGAAAATTCCATTCCAGCATGAATAGCAATAAGATTATAATTCCATCCAACCAAATAATTAGAATCAAAATAACCCATTCTAATTCGGATTCCAGACCTCTATTCCCATAAACCAAAGGAGCTTACTTTTTATATCTAATGGAACCGGATTTATCCGCTTAGCAGGAAGAATGTTAACATAGGTGCATGCTTCTCGTAAACCCAATAATTTACTGGATGACATCTCTAAATTATTGATTCAGTCTAACCACATCAGAGTAAAATCATGATAATAACTAACTGATTTAGCCAGTTGGATCTCGAGCGTAACTAATCCGGCCACAGATCTGCAACTATGTAGGGCTTATGCATAATCAGATTGTAATTTGTAATCATTGTTTGATTCAGGTGGTCGAAATGTTTAAATCATCACCCTGCATCAGTTTTGGTTCGAATTTGCTCAAACCCGAAAAATGTTGAAAGCCTATTATCTTGGTCAAAAAAACTGCCCTTTGACCCCCTTAACCCAGTCAGCAAGTAATAAATTACAATTTATATAAAATTTTTTGACATTTGGTTGTTGGGCGGATTCTCACTTTGGATCTGGGTCATATTTGTTTTATAATATTGATATTTGTGATTAGGATCTCTTATACTTAACGCCTTGTACTAAGGCAAACATTATCAAATGAGAAAACGTCAAAATTATTCACTTGGCTGATTTTGATTGGCCAGACTTTCGAATGTGATATCTTCTATATCATAACCATCTTGTCTTACTTTGGTGACAATAAAGTATGTGTTCGGAATCATGGATATTTATTCACTAAATATTTGTATTTGATTTATTTGAAAAATTAAGAAAAATAATAATGAACTTGTTTATTAATACTCAGGTGCCATTAGGCATTATATCAGTAAAACAATGAATAAATGCCTAGGGGGAGCGCTAAAATGAAACATACCCCATGCGCACATAAATCAAGGCTTATTTTTATAATTCTCTATGTGTACAAACCCGTATAATGGGGAAATGTTGAAGTAGCCTATGTGACAGCATTTATTCAATAAATGCCTACGGTCCCAAACACCACCCAAATCCACATAAATTTCAAATGACATCTTTGAGGGTATAATCATCACCATTATACCAGTTATATGGGGTTAGCTACATCAATCATATTTTGCCATTCTAGGAAGACAATTTCTACCATACCTAGGGTATATCCTAGAGGGAGTGTTTTTTATTTATCTGGAAAATAGATTTTAGGGCAGGCATAGGTTTTAAGATTTTACAACCATTACGAGTACGAGTAGGGTATGGTAATAAGATAAACCCGACCCACATATTGTTGGAAAGCATATGAATTTATGTATTAGGTGTTGATTTAATAATGTTTTGAATTTTATGTGAAGAATAATTGATAGTTTATGTATTTTTTACATATTTTAATTGGTCAAAACTCTTTCCATACCATATCTTTCCCACATCATAGATTTTCACTTAATCAAATAGTTAAAAATTTTAATTTTTGTTCATGCTATTTTATTTGTTTATTATTTATATATAACAGGAAATTAGATATGGGTTTTGGACTCAACCCTCTCCACCCTCAAATGCAATAAGGGTAGGACCGGAGAGAGTTTTGCATTTTCATGCATGGGATGGGTTTGGATTCTGAAAATCCAAGCAGCTATGGATTTTGAAAGGATACGGGTTGGAAGGTTAAGGGAGACAGGTAGGGTCTAAAATTTACAAAACCCACCCCATTGTCTGTTAGACAGTTTTGTATGCCCTTAGCTTCAATCAGAATGATGTACTTTATGAGTTTATTGTAAATGAATAAAGATACATATTTGATTCA